TCCAGATTTCCTTGAATGGTTTTGCTCCATTCTTTAAGCTTCTCCTTCAAAGCTTTCAATTTAAAAGCTAAAATAAAATCGGGCCTCCCTTCGCAAATAAAAGACTCTTACCATCCTTTAATTCTATCTTTGAAACCATCAGTTTGCAGCCATGATCCACCAATTTTCAAACTTAAAATAAGACCCAACAGGTTCCTAGTTTCCACATTGAAGCATCAGGGGTGTATGATCATATGTGATTCTATAAAGTGTAGTCTGTTTGATGTTTCTGAAAGCTTCATTCCAGTCCACTGAGATCAAAAACCTATCCAATATTGCTGCTATATCATGCCTATCACCTTTCCTCCGTGTGTATGCCCCTCCTGCCAGGTGAAGATCCACCAATTCCATGTCCTCAATGAACTCTGAGAACTCAGTCATAGCCCTATTAATTGTGTAGCAGTTCTTCTCTGATGGGAATTGAATAGTGTTAAAATCCCCACAAACCACCCAAGGCCCAAAAAAAGACCTCTGGCACCAGCCAACTCCCACCAAACTTTCTCTCTTTCTCTTCTATCGTTTGGAGCATATACACTAGATAAATGTCAAGTAAAATCTTGGGTTTACCAGAGAATTTACAAGTAATTGAATAAGAACCTAAACTACTGACCTCCCCTTCCCAAATTCTGCTATCCCAGAGTACTACAATTCCCCCTCTAGTCCCACTAGCTTCCAATTGTGCAAACTTTCCCATCTATTTGCCCAAAGTTCTTTAATAATTTCCCTAATGTCCCCTTCTAGGCTTCTACCTTGGATTCTTGGAAGCAATAAACATCTGCTTTCTAACTGTGAATCAAACTCTTGATCAACAATCTTTTCCTGTAGCGATTTAGCCCCCTCACATTCCATGAGACAATATTCACCTTCATTGATCATGAATAATAATACTTCCCCCTACTTCTGGTACCATTGCTCTTATTTAACTTGGATGTATGTATATACTTATTAAACACTTCTACATGCATTTAAAACAAAGTGGAAGGGCAGAAAAAACACAAGGAAAACAGAACAAGAGAGAGCGGAGGGGGAGGAGGAAGTATGAAGAAGAAGAGAAGGACGTGACCATAAGAGGAATGAAATATCTTCCCATATTACTTCCTCTTCTTTGAATACAGATTTAGTAGCAAGCATGGACCTTGCAGAATGTACTTCAATAAGCGGAAACCGCCTTTTACAAGATGAATTATCCTTTTTCAAATCATAAGAGCCCCAAAGATTTTGCATCCTCGAAATTTAAGCTCTTAAAATATGGCTTGCAGAATGGTTAAAGCGAATAGTTTATGGGCAGAGATCTTGATTTCATGTTGTTCTTTTCTCTTGTCGGGAACTAAAAAGAGCAATAGAATGGAAGAGAAGACAGGTTACTCCTCAAAAAGAAAGGGAAGATGATGTAGGAGATGCTGGAGTGCCACTGATTGTCACTATAAATCAAAAGCAGGCCCATCCAGTAATGTGGTAAAAGCACGAGCTTTGCTAAACAAAGGGCAGCCCGGTACACAAGGCATCCCGCATTCATGCAGGGTTCGGGGAAGGGCCGCACCCTAAGGGGTTATGTAGACAGCCTACCCTAATGCAAGCATTAGTGGCTGCTTCAACGGCTTGAAACCTGTGACCTATAGGTCACAACGAGACAACTTTACCATTGCTCCAAGACTCCTCTTCGTTTTGGTGAACAAAAAACATCAATATTGAGAAAATGATGATGAAGTTAAATATTGATATACTTACATGTCCCCAGTTGTCAATCCCTTTGTTCAGTAGTCCAATAGCCTGCAAGAGAAATGGTTGCCAGCAGTTGATGAACAAGGAAAAAATATATATATAAAGAAAAGAGATCAAACTTGACACTTGTGAATCGGTAAACATGCAAGTATTATGATACCGAACACAGAGATATGAGCAGCCCTCAAGAATAATCCGATATTACTTTAAATCCTTAAACCACTAATTAGCATCTTCAACCTATGAAAGTTCACAAGAATATACACTTTTGGAGAATATGCTTAATAATAAGATATGCGCTCTATCACCCGCATGGTGAATGCCAACAAATGGGCCTGGAGCTGAATAGATGATATAGTACTTTACCATATTTAATACAATCACATTTGCTATATATCGAAGATCCCCCTCGGTGCCTTTTACCATGCCTCTATGCCTCAAAACAAATACTGCAAAAGATCCAACCTGGTAATGACACAAAAACATGGATATCAGTATTTCATAACCTGATAAATGAAAAAGCAAGAAGTCTAATTATTTAATTTCCTCGACTGCTCTTGTGACAAAGAGATCCTTGTAGCGGCCAGAAACATAACTTCAGTATTCCAAGTACTCTCATGATAACTGAAACGAATGAGGCATTATTTTTCCTAAACTACATACAACTAGAAGGCAAGTTAATTTTCCCGTAAAATGCCAACAGGATTTACACATCAAGTGTACGGAAAACAATTACATACAAATGAGTGCATATAAGCAGATAGATTTAGAGATCGAAGAGTTGGACAATGTAAGTGATAAGAAATCATGAAATAGCATGAAATGGTAACCCCAGCTGCATGCACTGCAATAGCAAGTACACTAAAACTGCAAAAGAAAAGCAGAACTTACTAATCCCGAGATTGCCCCTGAGGCACCAACTGCAGGTGCCTTGCTAAGCCAGTAACTCATTGCTGAACCTAATCTCTTTCAGAAGATGCAATCAGAATCACTGTATAATAGGAATTACTTCTTTGAAATACGAATATATCTTATATGGTGACGTGTTATTACTTGCAATTGCAGATGTCAAATACAATGCAACATATCTTCTAGGGCCACTGATCTTTTCAACACCAGGCCCAACAGAATTCAACGAATAACAATTAACCTGAAAAGAAGCCACATCTGCTTTAAAACCTTAAGCAAAGATGGATTTAGGAATCCAGAAAACGTGAGTCAAGTAAAACCATGAGATGGCCTATATTTGCATGCAAGAATGAAGAAGTAATCAGCCTCCATAGTTGCCCTTTGTTAATAAGACTATTAATCTGCAAAACATATCAATCAACCATGTGAAAGAAAATATTGTTGATATGGAAGAAGCTATGTCAGCAATTTTACACTTTTAATCCAGTCTAACCTTGGCTCCCCAAAATAAAAGCTTTCCATCAGTTGCAACTTGTGCAATATAGACCCTGTAGTGAGATAGAAATTGTTAGTTCTCTGTGTAACAATAAACTCTTTGTTCCTTATACCAATCAAAACCACTCAAAAGGCGCCTTTTTCTGGTTTTACTTTTTCCGGATATTTGCAAGAAGGCACTTCTCTTCATTCTGAGCAGTGAAAGGGAAAAGATCGAATTGACTTATATAAATATTAATCCAAGATAAAAACAATATCATCGTATTTGCTCCATTTTGGTTAAGAATACTAAACTTACAATATGTTAAGAGCAAGGAATATGTTGGTCCATTTTCTTTCACTAGAGAAGAATGATCTAGACGACTTTGAGGATGACTTCTGAAATTGTTTGAATTCCCTTCTACTTTCATCAGCATTGAAGAATAATAAGTTCGTGTGCGTGCCAGATAAGACATCCTGTGACCATTGAAGGATATTGAATCCAGTAACGTCAATGGTCCATTTATGCCATACATCCTTCAATTTAGGCCCATGACCATGACAATAAATATGCTGTATAGCAACCAAAATGGTGGTTAAGAACTTTGCATTTCCAGAATTTCATGAGACTGCTGGGATAAGGAGACATGTATAACATCAAAGCAAATCACACGATGTTTCAACCAAGGTAAGAACTTTTCAAGCAGAGCTAGTTTACAAGAATCCTATCCAAATATATTTTTGTAACAATAGTTTAGAGAAAATTCAGCTATATGCATAATGGAAAATATTTAAAATATATACTTTTATACTGTATTGGCACCCGTTGTCCCAAAGCATTAGTGTGTGCAGCACCAATTAGTTATTAATCCAATATCCCAAGTGATTAACTAATTATATCATGAATTTGAGCAGTATAATCACATTGAACTGAGTTTAATCAAATTAATGGAAACCACAGCTAAAAAAACATTTAACTTTACAAACACTGCAAGGATCAACAAGCCACGGCAAATTCATAAGAAACGAAAAGTTACCTTGATAGAAGTTTGAAGAAGATAAGTGAGGCGGATACGGCGGTGGAGGAAGTCGCCGAGGCGGAGAGCGGCGGCGCTGGTGATGAGGTGGCTGGTTGTGGGACCCCATGTGTGGGTAAACTTTGGATTATTGGATGGTAGAGCTGCCCAACCCGCCATTTCCATTTTGCTCCGTAAAATTCTTAAACCCGAACCACATACCCGCTATTTTAACGAGTGGTATTCGAGTTAATTGCTCTACCGTCCCTCCTACTTTGTGATAATTGCAGATGCCTCCGTGTAGTTCTATTGTATTATTGTAATGTAATATAATTTAAATTTTAGTTCCANTTCTAAAAATTCACACATACCCAAAGGAATTAATGTGCTGCTTTACTTTTTTACGCAAAATAACGTTGAAATTTATGCTCCATAACTAAAAAGAAAATACTCTTTTTTTGGTTGAAAAAGAAAGCAATCTTTCTACAATATGGAAATAAAGCAACCATTTTATTGAAATAAAAGAAAATACTTTTTCTACATCATGAAAAGAATATACTCATTTTGTAAAAAATATCTTTTCTACATTATGAAAAGAAAATAAAACTTTTTCTATATCATGTAAAGAAAGTACTTTTTTGTTAAATTGAAAAAAAAAATACTTTTTTATATCATGAAAAGAAAATATTCATTTGTTGAAATGAAAAATAAATCTATCTATAACATGACAAGAAAGTACTATTAATAATATTTTTTTTATTAAGGGTGGGGGTGNCTTGATAGGGAAAACATTTTCCTCCAATTGGAGGAAAACGAGTTCATGAGGAATATTTTCTAAAACATTTAACCCCACCAAATATGAGAAAATTAGAAAATATTTTTCGAAAAATATTTTCCTTCATACCAAACATACCCTAAGTATTAACTGATTCGGCTTTTTTAAGTTGACCTATAATAACAGGTAACTCTTCATAGCAGTATGATATAATAACCTAGAAAATAGAATTAAGGCCAGTAAAATTACATTGATAATATAAAGTTCTTTACATTGTCAGCACATATAAATTATAGCCTTTTTTTGTGGGGGGTGGGGTGGGGGGGTATGATAGGCACATACCTTCTGAGTCTCTAATCCTTTAATTTGATTCCATTCTCAGCTACATTTCATCCGCAGATTCATAATGATATAGTTGAGTTGTAAACATACCTGCTAAGTGCCCAATGAAGCAAAGAATGATAAAAACAAACTACTCTGTACATTTTCTAAATGGAACCAATTCAGCCGCAACCAATATCAAGGAAAAATCCGAGGGTTCCACCAAGCTCTCACTGTCCAAAAATCAAATATTTTTCTTAGTGAAAAATTAGACCACTGTAAGTCATATTTTCTGCCTTTCTTGTGAAGGGGTTGCTGGAATTAATCACAAGTAAGTAACTATGAGAGTTTCAGATCTTGAATAAAGAGTTGCGACATAAAAGTTCCTATAAAAAGAGTTACAATGTAAAAAAAATTCTATATATCAAATCACCTAAACGATAAAATATAGTTAATTGTGATTTAGAAAATAAAGTAGGTAACTTGTTAAAATATGTTAAATTACACTAATAATGTAAAAATTTACAGTTTGCTAATATAAAACATTTGTAAAGAAGCAAAAAAAGTAAAGCAAGGAATCAGGATGGAGGAAATATTAGCAATATCTTACCTCTGGGAAAACCAGAAGTTGTAGTCTCAAAAGGGTTAAAATATCTCTGTCTCCAACTTGATAGCAAACTAAAAGGCCAAAGGGAAATAAGCTGAGTCCAACCCCATATTAGAGGATTCCTCATGTTATCCTCTTCTTCTTCATTGAATTCATTTGTGTATCCATGTTGCTCTTCATTGTTTGAGAAACCTTCTAGCTGATATCGACAAACCGGACAAGTATTATGCATTCTAAGCCATGGAACAATACATTCTGAATGATAAAAATGTTTGCAAGGAAGTTCTTTAACTTCTATCCCAACTTCGACCTCATCTTTACAAACAGGACAAACAGAGTCATTTTCCAAATGGTTTGCATTTAGCACAATTCTTGGCAATGCATCAATTGCTGAAGATGGCGCTGGAGGCGGCCCTGGCCTATCGTTCTGAGTCAATTCTTGAATGAATGGCAAAGAAAGCGCGTTTTCATGAGGAGAGACAGGTCTAATAGGTTGATCATCAGGGCCTATAAATTGGAGAATAACACGAGCACGTTGTCTAGTCCGATGATTTTGATCACTATTATTGTTTTGTTGTCTGATTGATGGATCAGTCATGAGTGTCAAGGCATCAAGAAGGCGAGAATTCCAGGATGGTTGTAGTTGTAGCCTTGTGACATCAGAAAGTATTAGCCTAGGCCTTGTAATATCAAGTTCATAGTGAACTTGGCCAAAACAAGTAGGACATAGAATTTCAAATGGATTGGCTGAAGTTGTCCTGATTGATCTTTGGCAATGTCTGCACCAGTAGTAATGGTATGTTCTCATTCTCTGGACTCCATTGACAATAACTCGAGGGCGATTTCGAGGTATCAAGGACATGTTAGCTCTTTTTGGAGGGGAAAGATTAAAGAGGGCTAGAAAATGAGTTACAGAATTGACAAATTAGATGTAACAAAGATACAAATGCAAAGGCTTTTATAAAAGGTTTGAAGAAGAGAAGGGAAGGAAGAAAAAGGATAGCTTTTTGGAAATGCTTTGCATGGAAATATTCTTTCTCCTCTCGAGAGGATATTTCTACAGCTTCGAAAAGTAAAGTATAAGACTAATGTATTGGCAACATGTAATGGTGTTGTCAATTCTAATACACGAAGAAACCCATTTTTAAGATGATTCTTCTTCTTCTTTTATTTAATTTTTTAAGTTATAATATTATATCAAGTAAGTGGTAACTATGAATCTTACAAGGCAAGGGCGGATCTAGTGCCCAAATTATGGTGCCCATCGTCTCTCCACAAAACTAAATATTTTATATACATATTTCCTAGATTAATCTAATAATATTTACTGGTCTCTGTATTCTAAAAAGGAGATCCGTGTCTGCTTGCGAGATGAATCATTAATTGTCATTTTGAAATTGTATACGGTCAAAATCATATGCCTCTGATTTATAGGCTCGGGGTTCCGTCCTAGGCCCGAGTCCGGGCGAGGTCGAGTTCGAAACCGGTAGACCAGACTCGAGCTCGAAGACAGAGTGCAATGCCCGAAATAGAATATCGAGGCCAAGTGTGCTCCGACCCCGAAATAGTACCGTTATGGGTTTGTAACAGAACGAACTAGATTCCTGTCACGTCCCCAAGATCATGGCACGAATCCCAGAATAAGATTGTACGATCCCGTACTAGGCGGTTAGACAGCTGTACCAAGAATATTCCTTACTGTAAATAGAAATATACCTTATTTAGGGATTCCCCTATTATATAAAGGGGACCCCAATCATTTGTAACATCATCTTATCTCTAAGCAAAGAATATACTCTCTACCTTTTTGCCTATTGTTCATCAGTATTGTCCTTTAGCTCTACTGTTCTTACTTTACTTTTATTACTTAATTGCTCTTATTATTCTAAGCCTACCTCGAGGTCACTGAGCTCGAGGTCATTGCTGTTGAGTAACGTTGGTTTGATTCACTTGCCTCTCTCATTTCTACTTCACACTTCTTGATTATTAATTGGTATTGAACTAAATCACATATCTTTAAAACCACAAATCAAATTTAATTGCTACTCGTATTTTCGAGGTAAACAGTTTGGCGACCATTGTGGGGCCAAAGATAATAGTGATTATTACTTTACTGATTCTCGTTACACACGTTGTCTTTTACACTTTTTCTTATCAAGATTTTTTTGATTCTCAGGCTGAAACATGTCTAGCTCACAAAACGCACCCATTCATGACAATGAAGGTCTTGGAGAAAACAGCAACGTCGGGGTCGATGTACCACCAATAAACCCAGGGGAAGCGCCAAATGTGGAACTAGTTAATGTTAGTTCGCACATTGCTTTGAATGCAGATCTAGGCGTGGACCCCGAAGGAAATATATGCAGGGAAGCCAGATCCGGTGACCAAAGAACACAGGGAATGGGTGATGGGGGAGTCAGCCTCCAAGTGATATTCGAGATGCTGCAAACTCAGCAAATCGCCATCGCTCAACTTCAGAGTCAGAATAGAACTCCAAACACAACCAAACTAGTAAACACTCGGCGTACTAAACCAGCGCTAGAAAGGCCCGATGAAAGCGGCTCGGGGACTGACCCCACGATTATGAAGATGCTCGAAGAGCTCACTAAGAGGATCGAGTTCGGAGAAAAGAAAATTGAAGATAACGACAAAAAGGTGGAGACCTATAACTCCCGTGTAGATCAGATACCGGGGGCACCTCCAGTTTTGAAAGGTTTAGACGCCAAAATATTCATACAAAAGCCATTACCTCAGAGCGCAACTCCAATTCCCATTCCTAAGAAATTTCGCATGCCCGATATACCCAAGTATAACAGAACAACCGACCCCAACGAGCATATTAGTTCATACACTTGCGGAATCAAAGGAAATGATTTGAATGACGATGAGATCGAATTAGTCTTGTTGAAAAAGTTTGGAGAAACACTATCAAAGGGAGCCATGATTTGAATTAGTCTTGTTGAAAAAGTTTGGAGAAACACTATCAAAGGGAGCCATGATTTGAATTAGTCTTGTTGAAAAAGTTTGGAGAAACACTATCAAAGGGAGCCATGATTTGAATTAGTCTTGTTGAAAAAGTTTGGAGAAACACTATCAAAGGGAGCCATGATTTGGTATCACAACTTAGCTCCTAACTTTATTGATTCATTTGCTATGTTGGCAGATGTCTTCGTGAAAGCACACGTCGGGGCCATAAAGGTGGACATGAGAAAATCGGACGTCTTCAAAATTAAGCAAAGGAACGATGAGATGCTAAGGGAATTCGTGTCCCGGTTTCAGATGGAAAGAATGGAATTACCACCAGTCTCCGATGACTGGGTAGTACAGGCCTTTATGCAGGGTTTGAATGAAAGGAGCTCGATCACGTCTCTATAGTTGAAATAGAACTTGATCGAATATCCAGCTGTGACATGGTCAGATGTGCACAATCATTACCAGTCAAAAATTAGGGTCGGGGACGACCAGTTGGGAGCCCCCTCGGGTTCAATTTATCCCAACAGATTCGCAGCCAAGCCCCCGAGGGATACAGACCGGGAATTGAGATTCAACAAAGAACGGCATCATCCATATGTCGATCGAAGGAACAGCGGCCCGAGCCACAACACTCCTCGGAGCGATCGGAGAATCGAGGTCAAGTTCTCGGGGACTCATAAGTAAAAGCGGATTCGATAAGCACACCGACCCCACCGAGGCCCCTCGATTATCAGAGTACAACTTCAACATAGATGCATCAGGGATTGTCTCATCTATTGGGAGAATCAAAGACACCAAGTGGCCCAGGCCAATACAGACCGATCCTTCTCAAAAGAACCCGAACTTGATGTGCAAGTATCATGGCACACATGGTCATAGAACAGAAGATTGCAGGTAGCTAAGGAAAGAAGTAGCTCGGTTGTTCAACAAGGTCACCTTCGAGAATTTCTAAGTGATCGAGCTAAGAATCACTTCAGGGAGAAAGATGCAAGTAAAAATGAACAAGAAGAACCACAACATGTAATCCACATGATCATTGGCGGAGTCGATGTCCCTCAGTGACCTGTATTCAAACGCACCAAGGTGTCAATTACAAGAGAAAAACGGACTCGGAGCTATGTGCCCGAGGACGTCTTATCATTTTGTGATGAGGAAGCAAAAGGCATATCTCAGCTTCACAACGACGCCTTGGTAATCTCTATCCTTTTAAATAAAATTCAAATTAAATGTATTTTAGTGGATCCAGGTAGCTCAGCAAACATAATCAGATCGAGGGTCGTGGAACAACTCGGCCTACAAGATTAGATTGTACCTGCATCCCGGGTCCTGAATGGCTTCAACATGGCAAGCGAAACAATAAAGGGAGAAATCATCTTGCCAGTAAGCATAGCCGGGACCATACAAGATACGAAGTTCCATATCATTGAAGGTGACATGAGGTATAACACGCTCCTCGGGAGACCGTTGATACACAACGTGAGGGCAGTGCCTTCAACTCTTCACCAAATGATGAAGTTCCCAACGGAGGAAGGAGTGAAATAGTTTACGGACAACATGCTGCAAAAGAGATGTTTGCAATCGAAGAAGTGGTGTCGATACCAGGGCCCTTGACCTCGGAGAAATCAAGCACAAAGGTAAGCAGGCGGCTAAATAGCTATCACAGCCCCCGGCCTTGACGGAGTCAGAACAACAAGTAACCAAACTTCTTAAAATAGGATCTATTTTGGAGGTAAAGTACCCCGAGTGGTTAACCAACGTAGTTTTAGTTCCTAAAAAGGAAACAAATTTAGAATATGCATAGATTATAAGGACTTGAGCGAAGCAATTTTCCCTTTGCCAAGCATCGATCGTACGATTGACGCCACGGCTGGCCATGAGAATCCTAACTTTTCTCAATGCCTACTGCGGGTACAATCAGATTCAGATGAACCCAGAGGACCAGGAGACGACTTCATTTATTACTGAGTTTGGAACTTATTGTTACAATGTAATGCCCTTCGGGCTAAAGAATGCAGGAGCTACACACCAACTCCTAGTTAACAAAATGTTCGAAGAACAAATAGGCAAAACAATGGAAGTTTATATTGATGATACGTTGGTTAAGTCCCGGTGCGCAGAGGACCATTTAGTTCATTTGCAGGAAACATTTGCGATCTTGAGGAAATACAACATGAAGCTTAACCCGGAGAAATGTGCCTTCGGAGTTGGCTCGGGTAAGTCTCTCGGCTTCATGGTATCAAATCAGGGTATAGAAATAACCCCCAATAAGATCAAGGCTATCGAGGATATCATGATCATGGGTAGCGTGGAGGCTGTGAAAAAGCTAACGGGGCGAATATCTACCTTGGGTCGATTCATTTCAAGGTCGTCGAATCGAAGTCACCAGTTCTTCTCTTTGCTCAAAAAGAAATAGGATTTCGCGTGGACCCCAGAATGTTAGCAAGCCTTAGAAGAATTAATGTGATATCTGTCGAGCCCGTCTTTGCTTCATACCCCGAAGGTAGATGAAAAATGAGAAGCAACACTTGTTTGAATGGCCACGCAAAAGCAAAGGATCGAAAGATGCTACAATAGAAGGACCAACCTCCTACATTTCGGAGTCAGAAACTAAGAGGTCACCCTCAATACTCGAGACCCGAATGAAGGAAAATCGCGCTCGAACTGGGAAGGATCATATTAGGTCCTCGGAATTGTTAAAGGACCTTACGAACTCAGCACGATGAACAACTTCCAAACAATTAGAACATATCACTACTCAAACGATACTACTGCTAAGGTATGTCTTTATCCTTTTGACTATTTGGGTTTAAAACTAACTCATTACAGATTTCCAATTAAAGGTATCGAAGGCATACGATCTCGAAGGCATCGTTATTCACACGAAGACCTTAGGTTTTAAAGCATGTGTTGCACTATTTTTCCCTTAGTTCGGATTTT